ATATATATATATATATATATATATATATATATATATATATATATATATATATATATATATATATAAATGTCGGAGCAAGGTGCGCGAAGGTGATAGCTGAACGACAGTATGACGACATCCGCCATTTCTCTCGGATACTATGCAGATCTATTTTCGAGTAGTGGTTAAAATAGAGCTGAGCTTAAACTTCTCCGCTAGACACTGTTGGAGTTACCGCGTCGGGAAGGAATTAGGTCAGACTCGAACGACAAAATAAGTATCAGCGAAGTATAAGCTCAGATGGCGCCGGCAGACAACAAAAAATGAGTGAAATCGATTATTGACCTCAGTAATTCATACCTGCCATGGGAAAGGTTTCTTTCCCAAAATAGGTGTCTCTTAAGGATGATGGTCGTATATCTTTAAATAACGACGTTCGTGTCTTCTCATGCGTGTCTGTTGCCACTTCGAAATGTCTTTTCTAAGCGACTTTTTTAGTCGTTGTTCCGATATTCGTACAGTTCATCGTGAAATTATAGAGTTAGGCGGCGCGCGCGCGCGAGAGAGAGAGACATATCGCACGTGTGATTCAAAAAGATGTCTTACAGTCACAGCAAAAATGATCCGGATACGAGAAATGATCTAAGATGACCAAATAACTGCACGATATCGCGTATATTTTTATGTTTAACCAATGTAGATGACGGAATTCCTATCTGAACTATTCGTTAAATTTAGCAAGAAAATCTTGCAGTAGCGTCCATTTAAATTAAGGTCAGATTAATAATTGATAACGGGATCTGAATTTGTCTGCAGATATTGCTAAAATGCTGCTACTGCTGCTGTAAATTCCACGTACCACGTACCACAGACGCTTTTAAACCGATAAAAAAGGATAACGATAAATTTTAACTTCGTGACGTTTAGAATTGTACTTGGGCCAGCGAAACATTTTTCTGAGCGATCGCTTTTGTGTGAATACTCGCGCGAGCGAGCCTCGAAAAGGAAGTTCTTATAGAATTATAACGTTTAATAAAGAAAAAATCTCGCGCAAATTAATACGAACGTTTCACCCGGTCATCGCTATTCATAAAACTGTTATTGTATTTCGTTAATAGCCTGAATGGAATTTGAAGGCGATTTGTCACAAAGCACGTAATAAATAATGAATGCAATAACGATGACATAAATAGAATTTACCCAATATGCGAATATTGTAAACAGTAATAATATACATAACGATTCTATATTAAATTTATTTCAATTAAGAGCTCGCGGTAGTATAACTTAATGGTCATCACGAACGGGGTTATGAGCTTCATCCGTCCGTTAATTGTAAAAGGAAGAAAAACAAATACGCTGCGAAAGCGCGCTGCCGTTTAAGATCAATATCGCGTTTCAAAAATGGAATACAACGTAATTGTGCGTCGACGTAAATGGGGCGCAGACGTGGAGAGAAAGATATATACATCAATTATATATATGTATATATATATATATATGTATATATATACACATATATAATACAATATATATAATATTGTGGAGAAAACGCTGACCTGCATTTTCGCGCGGCGCTCCTTTCTCGTTGCTTTATCTACTTCTTTTCTACTTCGATCGAGGAATGATTCGCGCGTTATTCGGCGACGCGACGCGCTTTACACGTTCTACGTGGCCGAGAAAACGCGACTTCCGCGGCACCTCCAATGTACAACTTCGACCTTTCCTCTGAGCGCGCGTTTCGTTATCACGCGGCCAGATATGCGAAACGACGACGAGCGCGTTGCGTCAGAGATAACCTGGATACCACCGCGTAAAATTGTCGCGGACGGAAACGTGCGTGAGAGCCATATGAGCCCTTTTGGCGCTCGTTCGTTCACGGCCCAAGACTGCGACGCAACATTATCGGCAGTTAAAAAACGACGGTGTCACATCCGTCGACGGTGCAACTGCCGAAACAGCCGTTGTACTAGCTAAATTTAAATTAGAGTATATCTTTCTCTCTCTCTCTCTCCCCCCTCTCCTCCCCTAAGGAGCAGTTGCATAACCCGAAGGAGTGCGTGGCGCGGTGCGGCGGCACAGCGTAACTGCGGAAGTCGGAGCCCTAGTCGGCGAGCGCGCGCGCCTTCCTCGACGGCGAGACCGCATGATTGCCGGTGCAGTTTTATAAGCGAGCACCTTTGGCTATACTGCTCGCTCTACCGCGATCGATAACGCAATGCCACTCAGCTAAAAAAGTCGAGGCAACGTCTGTGTGCCATCGGCGCTCGCGAGTCCAGCGAAACAATAAAGCAACGATGTCGACTCGAGTTCTCTTTCCTTCTCTCTTTTTCACTCGCGATCTCTGCAACTCGCTCGATGCGAGTAGCGCGCGCGCAGAGAAGAAGGTTGTCTAATTGACGAGGTGATTAGCACGTCGCTAATAATACACACGTGAGAGCATTTTTCTAAGAGGAGGACGGGAATCGGTGGTCACTCGACGTGGGTCAAGCCACGTCTCAGTTACGTGGGTTCTAATTTGTCCGATTTGAGGCGACTGATTTCACGCGGATAGATAGGAGCGGTTAATTAAAAATTTTTCTCGGAGGGATCCAGCCCTCTCGTGCGAGCAGCCGTTTAATAAACGTGGAAATTTACTTCGCTCACGACTACGCGAGTGATCCATTTCGCACGAGGAGTTATTTCACTTGGCCACTTTTGTCAGACTGCCACAAGTGTCCTTTTCTGTACACGGAGGAAATGTTGTAGTAAAAATTACAAGATTTTTGTAATCTTGACTCATGCGGGATTATGATCGAAAATTACTACATACTTGTTTAAAAATGTTATGCACGTATATGGAAGCTTTCACTAAAAAATAATTTTAAATACTTGGATACTTTTTATATCATTCCAGATAGATAGTCAAATTTACTGTTTCTACAGTAATTTAGATTACAATTTCAGTATAGCTTCACAAAAAACATTGTAAAGAGAAATGTAATTACAACATAACTTTTACTAGAATATTTTCTTCGTGTTTTTATGACTTATGTCATCGATATGTCTTGAGAGCAAAGAAATCAAAATGTCCAACGTTACAGTGTTTCAATCCGTATCTCTAACAAGGAAACTAATCTGAATAAGGGAGAGCAAAGAATAGAAAGAATTAGATATCCCAAAACCGAATTTTGTCTAAATGTAACTTTAACTTGGCTGAATAACTTGTATCAAACTTCTGAGGAAAGTGGGTTAGATCGATGTCGCGTTGAGATCTTCAAATTCGACCAGCTATTTGTCGAACACCTCGACCTCTGGGTAACAGTAAATTCTACATCAAGTCAACTCGGTCGCCCGAGACAAGTGAGACTTATTCAACTGACTCACCTGCTGGAATGGCGGCAACTGCAGCAAATCTCTCTCCTCGGCGGCGGTAACTTCAAAGGTAGGGGCTGGCTGAGGCGGGTAGATGTTCCCCTTGCCGGGATACGAGGTGCTACGACGGAACTTGACCGGACTGATGCAGGAGGGATGCGCCGCCTGACCGGGATGACCCGGAAACGTCGGGCTCGGCTTGCGACCCTGAAGACCAGCCGCGGCCGCCACCGCAGCGGCGGCGTGCAAGGACGAATGCAACGGTGGTAGATTCGGCACGGATCTGCCGCGGCTCCAGGGTGATAGGCCGGCTGGACTCGCGACCGCGGCGGCAGCGGCAGCCGCTTGCGGACCCGCGCCCCATTGCTGAGGAGCCTGTGGCCCACCTGACCACGCCGCATAGCCTTTGCCGGGCAGGTAGACGCCCGGATGAGACGTAGGTGGCGGTTGCTGCTGCTGTTGCTGATGCTGTTGTTGTTGCTGCTGCTGCTGTTGCGCAGACGAGACCTGGAGGCCACCGTGCCTGGTGCCAGCGGGTGCGCCGGCATTCCCGTGCTGTTGCTGTTGTTGTTGCGGGAAGTTGTGACTAGCTGTGATAGCGCGTCGAGTGCCGCTAGAGACCGCGGCGGCGCCAGTGCTGGCGAAGAGGCCCGCGGGTCCACCGGTCGGGAAGTTTTGAAACGCAGCGATTGAGCCATTCACTGGCAAGGCGTGCAAGCCGCTGTCATCCGGCGCGGACCAAAGACTGGGCACTCTGCCGGGATCAGCGAAGCCCTGCAGTGACGAGGACGTGCTGCACGTGATGTCCTTCTCCGTGGAGGATGGCGTCGTTGGTGTGATGGCGATGCTCTCCACCTCGACCACATCCTTCGACTTGTCCTGCCCAGCCACGGTGTCGAGCGCGCTGCTCGGCGAGAGCGGAGCCGGTTTGCCGGCAGCTTGCTTCTCGATCAGCAAATCGTCCTGCATCGTGGATGTCGTGATGATAACGTCGGCGTTTACGTTGCTGTTGTTGTGGTTGTTGTTGCTGGTGATGGTGATGTTGACGGAGGTGTTGCTGCTGCTGCTGCTGGTCGCGCTGAGCTTCTGGCTGGTCAGGCTGCTGGTTCTGGAGAAGAGACTCGTCGCGCTCAAGTCCCCCATAAATCACCGGGGCTTCCGGTCACCGAGCGGCCACGCGACGTTGACGAGCGTCGCGACGACCGACACTGCAGCTAGGCCCCTCAGGAAACTTCCTCCCTTCCGCCTACCGACACGGGCCCCGTGACTCGCCGGTCGGGTGGTCGTTGTGGCTGAACGCGAGAGGACCGTGCGCGTCCTCCACGTAGTGCGCTCCTCGTCGTCTCTGTCCGGCACGAACAGCCCGCGGCACAAACTATCGATCCACGACCGTACGCGTAAAAACACCCACGGTGAGAGGTCCCGGAAACTGAAGGACCACGTCGCACGATGATCCTCCTCCTTGTCGCGTGTCTTCCCTCTGTCTTCTTCGTTGTTAGCGACACGTTCTCTCCTCTTTCTTTCTCGCCCGATACTCCACCTCTTATCACGCTCCTCCTATTTTCACGTCTCGCCCTATTTTCCCCGAAGACCCGCGCCTCCTCGTCTTCTACCTTAGCTCGCGTCCTGTGCGCGCTCTCCTCCCCCTTTTATCTCGCTCTGGTTCGCCCCAGCGAACGCTCCTCTAGATCCCGTTAATGCCGCGTCGCCCCGGTACGATTCGGCAGCGACTCTCTCCCCGTGGCATCCTCTTGGCTGTCGGAGAGCTCGGAGACAGCTCCTCACTGGGCGACACGCGTTGTCATCGTCGATTGCGGCGCTCCGCGAAGCGCTGCTCGTTGCTGTTGCTGCCGCTCCTGGCTGCCTCCCCCGCGTTCGTTCGATCGTTCGCTCGCTCGCTCGCTCGCTCGCTCGTTCGCTTGCCCGAGTGCCGTGTTCCGTTCTGCCGTGTGCACGACGTCCGAGGCTACCCCCTGACAAACATAATTTCGATCGTCACACCGCTGGACCACTTGGAATCCTCCCAAATACGCAACGCAGCGCGCGCGCGACCTTTTGCTTTCCACTACCACCACACACACGCGACTACGATACGAGGTCGCTCCGCGGATCGTATCGCGACGGAGGTGGAGGAGGGTGAGGTGGAGGAGGTAGAGGTGGTGGACGGGCGGGAGGGAAGAGGGTGTATAGAGCGTACACGATATGTTTTACCCCCACGAGACGACGAAGCCTGACGAAGGAAGCGATCGCGTGTCCTTCGCGAGCGATCGCGGCCGACTCGGCCTGCACTCACACTGAACCCGCGGAATTCACCCCGGCATGAGAGGGGCGGCCTATACGGGAAGCAGCCGCAGGTTTCGCCGCGGATGACACTCGCGGGACGACAGGCGCGTACAGTCGTCGCCGATCGCCGAGTGTTCCGCGGCGGTTCAGCGGTATCGGCGGGTTGGCTGACTGACTAGCTGGCGCGCGCGCGATCGATCGATCGCCGATAAGCCCGGTGTGTATACGCGCGCGGCGGACGGAGAGGTGAGAGTGTGTGTGAGAAAGAGAGAGAGAGAGAGCCGAGAGAGAGAAAGAGAAGGAGGAAGGGAGGAGAGTTCGCCGATGTGTATTTGCTCGCGCGCGCACACGATGAGTCTCGCGGGGACACTGGCGAACGCGAGCGCTAGTCCAAACCCGAGAACCCGAGGAGCGTAGCGTAGGCGCACGCGGGGTCAGGTCAGGGTTACTACCACCGTCGCGTTCGCCGTTGACTGCGACGTGTCTCCTTCACCCGGACGGATGATGTCGAAAGTCGCGGGTTCACACACTGCGGTAATCCACGCGATGCAACCAGAAAGTGTCTCCTCGCACGCGCGCGCCAAGGCGAATCGTCGTTCTCTGCCGCACGTCGTTCTACGTCGTCACTGTGTCGCCGATATGCTTGCACACGACGTGGCGCACCACCTCCTCGACCGCGCACGCACGCACGCACCTCGTCGTTGTCGCCGTCGTCGTCGTCGTCGTCCCCCACCTCCTCTACGAGGTACGACGGTCTAGCGCCGCCACCCGCTCCGTTAGCATATTTTCCCTACTTCCCTCGGTGGCTTTCGTCTGTCGGTCTGTCTGTCTGTCTGTCAGTTCTCGCCGCGCGTACGCCCTCGCGCCTCCGTCGGTCGTCGTGCTCCAACTCGAACAGTAGAGGGAGACGATGAAGCTGCCGGAGGAGGTGCAAAGGGGAGGTGGTGGCGAGCAGGTGGAGGTGGAGGTGGTGGAGGAGGAGGAGGAGGAGGAGAAGGAGGAGGAAGACGAGGCCCGGATAACTTCAGCCAGCAGAGCGCGTTTCGACGAGGCGGCTTCGTGGTCTCTCCTCTGCTGCTTTTGCTGCTGCTGCTGCTGCTGCTTCTGCTGCTGCTGCTGCTGCTGCTGCTGCTGCTGCTGCTGCTGCGTCGTCGTCGTCGTCGTCGTGTCGTGTGCCTCTGGCGCGCGCGCGCGCCGCAGCGGTGCGATTCGTGCGTGCGTCGTGCCGACTTTTGGAATACTGCGGCCGCGTCGCGGGTCGGGGCATGCCACAACCCGTCGGAGTATAGGCGTCGTAACCGCGTGGAACCGTGCGCGCTCGGCGATCTTCGCCCGGCCACCGAGTACACAACGTGTACTCCGACGCTCTTGTTCTCGACCTCGCTCACGTCGCCGTCGTCCTCGTCGACCTCGCCGCCGTTGCGTCGGCGGTGCTCCACGCAGGCGCCCTGGCGCCGACGTCGCCGCCGCCATCGTGGCCGCACCAAAACCACCACCGCGACGCTCGCCGTCATCCCCCTTTTCCTTCCATCTCCTCGTGCGGTGCTTCCTCACCGTTTCCCTCTTTGCAACCCTCTATTTGTATAGAGTGCCGTGAAAGCATCGAATATCTTTTCCGGTCTCTATCCTGAGTTTGGCGCGGAACGATCTAATATTGATAATCGATGAATTCTGATAAGGGCATGTGTCCAAGGAAATCGTGGATAGTCGGAGGGATCTCGGGTACGGTTAGAATGATTCAGCGCTTCTGCGTTTTTGTGGCAGTAGTTGAGAAACAATGCGCGGATGGTCGCGTGAACGATGCTCGCCTTTTGTTCTGCCCGAGCTTCTCTGGCGCGATGCGAAAAAAATAAAAATAAACAAACGACTGTTGGATTCAGATTCTTCAAGTTCTCATTTCATTTTAGACGATCTATAATTATTTCTATCTTTATCTTGCAATGTTTTCTATTGTTTTTACTCAGTTTTACAGTCATTGCTTATCACACGTAAGACATTCGGTCTAAATTTAGGTTAGTTCCAAGTCTAGAATTTAAATTTTTCAATTGAATCGTCACAAATATAATGTCATATATACAATCGTATGATACAACTCAGTAAATAGTTATGAGTGTAATACTATCTTCAACTCTATCGTGAATCATAGGTCGTCTAAAGTGGACTTTGTGTAATAACAGTCGTCTATCCTCTCTCACGTGCTCTCTGGACTATGCTCTTGGCGTACAGAATACAAATTTAACATTCTATCATTAAGACATTCTATCATTCAAACGTAAACATATATGCAGAACAGATACAACGAATGTGGTGGTGTATCTAGCCGTGGTTTCCGCTACGAAAAAATTTCGAGTTCAATTCACGGCGATCTACGGTCGAAATGTCACTGGATGTTCGAGGACATTCAGTGCATCGCAGCCGCTTTCGGGGACTCGAACTTTGCCCAACAATGTTCGATGAAAGCGCCGCGAGACGGCGGCTTGATAAAGCGGTCGCTCGATAAGAGAGTTCTGTTCGGTTATGTACCGACAGAACGAAGAAAGAGAACGAGGAGCAAGCCATATGGTATACGGGGGATTAGAGAGAGCGGGACGTAAATAAAAATATCACGACGTGCGATTTATAGCGGTGGATAACGAGGATCGCGTGCTTGTAGGAAAAACGAAGAAAGGGGCAGCGTAAGAGTACGATGCGAAGAGCTCTCTCTCTCTCTCTCTCTCCCCCTCTCTCTCTCTCTCTCTCGCTCTCATAATTACACTCGAATCTCGCGTGCCTCCTTAGTCGGGGTATCGTCTTACGAGGCAACGGGCTGCCTCCGTCAGAGGCTACAACGTGTAGTAAATCTTTCATGATTAGTCGCGGGATGCGAACTACGGTCGTGAGTTTGTAAACGTGGTCGACGTCGCGCTATGCCGCGAATGCGCTGCGCGTCCTCGTAAATCTCGCAAAACTGTGCTCTCTGATTTCACTTACGTAACGCCGAGATTAAACGTATCTGCACGCGCGCGATACGATCACCTTGCGTCGAACGCGAGAGTAATCATTCCGACAGATCTGATCGGAGTGTCGCTGATAACGAGGCATCGATAAAGATCTTGACGTTAATGTCTTTAGACGCGTCGTTCCGTTTCTTTAGCAAGAGATTATGCTTGAATAATTTATACTCGCACGCATAAGTGCGAACTGTATTACCGACGCGGAATCGAAATCTCTGCGCGGCGCGCTTTGTATGAAAAATATGCGATGGGAATAGCAATTATATTATTAATGATATTAAGTATAAGTAATTAATAATGAGTACAAAATGAGAAATACGATTTATATAACATTCATACACGGAGAGAATATTGTAGGTCCTTTTCATATAAATTCTTTTCAATTTCGCTATGTTTTTAGTAGTCCGCGAATAGACAGTTTATCTTATTAAAGGACATAGTAAATTTCTCTAGCAAGTGTTCTAATAACATATTCCAGTTCCTAAAATATAAACAGCACATATAATAGTAAGTTACTACACAATGTCGATCTATTTCTCGATTGTAAAATTCTATAATAATTTTTATTATAAAATCTTCTCCGTATATATATCCCTCCTTAATATATTTTTATATATGATATAAATTTGCAAATGAAACACGTTTATATGAGATACGATGTGCAAAAGTTGCAGGCATGCTACCTACAGCGGTTTCTATTCTATATTGATATTTACCGTTTTCTCTTTCAGCGGATCGGAGGGTACCAGCTTCAACTTTGGAACTGCCATTACGCGGCGACGTATTTCTTCATACAGCGGATGACCGGCTGATTTTCGCGAGATATTCACTGCCCGCGTTCGTTCGACGGTATTTCGCCACAGCACGAAACTTCGCTTCGACGCTGTTGACGATATAACTCACGTGCGAAACTTCCGCACAAGTCGGAAGCATAAAGACGCGGCAATATGAAGTCCGTGCCGCCATTGTGTAACGAACATTCGACACTTCACTCGGCACTCCCGACTGGGCACGACTCGATTCACTCTCGACGACGATATTCGGTGGCGACGAACACGCAACACTTATTTCCGGCACTTCCGGCGATAATTCGCACGCGAGACTCGCCAGTCGAAGTCGCGGGAAATGCGGGCCGACTTGTCGAACTGCCGCGCGCGATCCTTCTCGAAACTGCGTGAACATTACAACGATCGCGATTTCTCAAGACTCGCGCCGACCAATCACAGTGATCTACCTGTTTTTCAGAAGTGGTGCCAATCGAAATGCGCGGTCAAGTTGTCGGAGACAATTCCGACGCTCGAAATATTAAGAGGACATTATCTGTTTTCCTAGAATAAGTGCCTTACAGTCTCCGCGATAAGTGGGCGCGAGATCTTCTTTCATCAGAATATCTTGAATAACGAATATCCGATATAATACTCGACATTCCTGACTTCCGTTGAGCGAGACTCGCTTTCTTTGCATCCAATGAGATTTTATCACAACGAACGCGCGACTTACATTTTCAGCACTCTCGACGATTTGCGCGCGAAATTCATCGCAGATGAATCACGAGATATACAGAACGACCCGTCGGACACGAAGTATTATGCGCAAGTGGTTCCGAAACTGACCGAACGCTTGGCGTTTCTCTAAGCAGTGATTCGCTCGACGCAGCGCGCAACGTCCAATCACAGAGCTCCATTTTTTCGACGGTGTCGCAAGACACGTTAAATACGCTCGAGATAATTCCTACATTCGAGATACTGACAGAGTATTATCTATTTCCCTGTAATGAGTAATCGCCACTACCGGTGGTGACCCACGCGTGAAATTTTGTTTCGATGATCGACAGAATAAAGCACAGTGATTCAAAATCCGTATTGCTATCGTATAACCGTCACTTATCATCTCGATCGTACGGTCACCATCTCTCTCGACGTTTCTGTCGGCTCGTCCCGCGAGATACATCTCGATGACCAGTCGACGATGGTTTCGCCACAACAAACGCGCGACACTCGTCTTTGATATTTCTGACGATAATTCGCACGTGATACTCAGTTTCGGCGAGTCAAAATCGCGAGAGATGTTACCAGCGTGTTGAATACGACTACTGTGCGCAGACCGTGCAACAAACTGAATATAGCCGCGATTGAGTTTCTCGAAGTCTATCGATGTATATCGAACGCTCGAGGCTGGTGTGACTCATCACTGCAGTGCCTCCAAGTGTCCACTATAACGTTGGCTATCCTGTGTCTACAGTTTCGTCTGTCGCTGTATTACGTAGCTGTCTCGTTTATCCACCTCATTCTTGTCAATTGGCCCTGACATTTCGACTGCATACGAAAGGATCTACGTAAAAATTGTCTTGTCGTGCAGTATCAACGTTAATTCGCGAAAATGAACAGGCTCTTCGGACGCGCTAAAGCCAAAGAACCTCCACCGAACATCACGGACTGTATCGCTGGGGTAAAGACGACGAATTTGTTTATGTATATTACCAAAGACAATTAATTTCCCTTTCTGTATTCTTTTTCCATATTATTATGACAGTTTCGAAATCATATAGAGGGCAAAAGTCACATAATTTGCGAGAGACAATGTTATGCAGTGGAAGATTATACGACTTACTGCGATAGTAAAGATCTGTTTTGTAAATGTCATGACACTCTTTTAGGTTGACAGTAGGGCGGATTCCGCGGAGAAGAAGATAGCCAGGCTAGATGCGGAGCTGAAGAAATATAAAGACCAAATGGTTAAAATGAGAGATGGTCCAGCTAAGAATGCAGTAAAGGCCAAAGCTTTGCGTATACTAAAACAGCGAAAGATGTACGAGGGTCAGGTGGACAATTTGCGGCAGCAGGCATTTAATATGGAACAAGCAAACTATGCTACTCAGACCTTAAAAGATACTCAAGCAACTGTGGTTGCTATGAAGGAAGGGGTCAAGCAAATGCAAAAAGAATTCAAAAATATTAATATTGATCAAATCGAAGTAAGTTGATAATAATTTACTAATACAAATCTTACTTGGAGTTTATTGAATATTGCATAGGTTATTCTTGTCACATGCAGGATCTACAAGATGATTTAGCGGATATGTTAGAACAAGCTGATGAAGTACAAGAAGCGATGGGTCGTAGTTATGGAATGCCAGAGATTGATGACGATGAACTTGCAGCTGAATTGGAAGCTCTTGGTGATGATCTTGCTTTGGATGAAGATTCCAGCTTCTTAGATGATGCTATTAAAGCACCTAGTGCACCGGATAAAGAACCTGGAGCGAATTCTGCGAAGAACAAGGTCTGTTCTGGAATAAGTATATTTGTCTATCAAGTTTCTAATTAAAGGAATAAGATTACATTGACTTGTATCTTAACACAGGATGGTGTTCCTGTCGACGAGTTTGGATTGCCGCAAATACCTGCCAGTTAAGTTTGAGCGTATCAAAATATATCTAATTGGATAAAAAAAAATGTAAGCTTTAAGATATTCACATGCATGCCCAAAGACACTTGATCCTCTGAGGATCTAAGACAAAAGCTTTTCTGATCAACACCCCGGACACATCATGAATAATGCTCTAACAAAGTTTTTGTTGATGAAAACAGTCTTGCAACAGATATATTTAGTTCAGTACTAATAAGATTTTGTTACACTGGTCTTTAAAGCTACTATTTTTATTAAATTAGAGTTATGTTGTACATATATATATAAGAAAATTAATAAATATTGATAATATTGACAATTTTCTGTGATACATATATGAGCGATACAAGACATACTTATGCTCCATTTCCGAATTCTTACAAACTTATTAAATCATATATGAATGATACAAGACATACTTATGCTCCATTTCCGAATTCTTACAAACTTATTAAATCATATATGAATGATACAAGACATACTTATGCTCCATTTCCGAATTCTTACAAACTTATTAAATCATATATGAATGATACAAGACATACTTATGCTCCATTTCCGAATTCTTACAAACTTATTAAATTACTCGTAATCTAGAAATATTTGTTTTATCCATACTCCGTATTTCTGTGTAACGTTCACATAAATCGAGAATGCATTCTTTACTTTCGTCGAAATGTGTCTCGTCAAATCCATGTACCTGTGTATAGTGGTGAACGTGTGCCTAAAATATAATTTCATTATATTAGATAATTATACAACAAACTAAATTTTTATCGAGTAACTTCTGCATGAAGTTTATCCAGTCACTAGCAAGAGAAAAAATAACTTGATAATAAAAATCGTTGTCTTTGTTTGCTGAATATATATAGTGATTCTTTGTTAGTACCTTTTTCCTATATAACTTAGAAAATTCTTGTATTATATCTTTGAATAATAAAGACATGGTGGATGAATTAAGCAGACATAGTAATGATGAGGTATGTCCTGCTGGAGGAATAGAACACAATCCTATTTTCATGCAGTCCTTACTCCATGAAGTAAACTTTGCTTTACTTTGAAATCTATCAAAGAATAAATGTAGTCATAATTAAAATGATTATTAAGGACACAAACTTGAATACAACAAAGGTGATTTAAGTACCTTTCAATGTTCCGTTTCATGTCAGTCAAAGTAGTATTTCCCCTTGCAATATGTGCAGCAGCAAGAATCACAGAGGTGCGTTGTAGAGGGTCCAATTTGATCAATTGATTATTTCGCGACCATGCATTGATGAATAGTTCATCTTGCAATCTTAAAAAATTCACTTATATCTCTCTGGTCTCGCATTTATGTTTTAAGATGAGAGCTATAAGGAAGAAGTTCACATACCTTGTCTGTTGCATATTGCACATATTTGGAGCAGCTAAAGTCACAGGGCAGATACTGCTGAATATATAATGTAATTTCGGATAAGGCACCAAATTTGTCGCCACTTCGTTCATATCCATATTTAAACTTCCTGGAAATCTAGATCCGCTAAAAGAAATCGTTATGTTCACGGTATCGAGTGTCACGTAGCAATTTTACAAGAGATTTCTTCACCTGGTCAAGTGCAAAAGCATATTGACAATAATACTGTTCATATCTTGAAACGGCTTACACGATGCGTTATAATTTATTTGACTGGTATTGTCTCGTTTGTTCGTTTGCGCATTACATATATCCAAGAGAGCTTTGTTCTCAATGGGAAACACGCACGTGGCATGCTCCACGAGTTCTCGGGTAGCAAGTAAAGTGTTATAAGGTGCTGTTACAACATCTTGCATACTTATTGGATACACGCAAGACACAAGCCTGCAATATTAATAAAGTAAATTGACCTTAAAATTTTCTTTCTTGCAACTAATGTTACACAAAACAATCAGATTCAACTGATTCAATTAATATTAATACTCATTGAAAGATAGCTCACCTTTCCACACGAGGGTAGTTATTTTCTAACAGTTTTAAGGTTGCTGTGCCTAATCCAGACCCTGTACCACCTCCTAAAGAGTGCATTAGCAAAAACCCATGAAGTCGATCGCATTTTTCAACCGTGTGTCTTATACTTTCCTCCAAGCGATCACGGTACTCTCTATAGTGAACATGATATCCTACTGCCCTAGAAATGAAATTTCTTGAAATTATTATGACAATTATTCCTATATCCTATTCATACTATAAATATAAATACTGTTGCACACAAATCACCAATTATTTCCAGATCCTGGATAATTCGTTACAACACAGGTCTGATCAAATAATCGACGCAATGGACCTTGTTTAAATCTAGATACAACACTATCCTCCATGTCTATCAGAACACTCTGGTAAAAGAAAAATGTTCTATTAAATTTGAAGAACTTATTTCTTATAATCTTAGTTTTAAGAAGTTAAAAATTAACTGGATTATACAAACCCTGGCTCTAACTTTAGCTGTATTTAAGTCAGCTACACTTTGAAAATGCATACTATCAACACTACCTGGAACATGAAAGAAACTAGAAAATCCATCAGATAGATCCTTGATGTGCTTCACATGAGTTCGTTGTATTTTGAGCAGATTAACATTGCCAGTAGTCTGGATACCATATTCATGTAAAGCCAAGGGCCAGAAAGCTGATCCTATTTGATTCCCGCACTGGCCAACTAAAATAAATAGAAAAGAATTTAAAATGTTTATAACTCATTAAAATCTTAAATTTTATTATTATATTTGTATATGCTTACTTTGTACAGTGACAAATTGACTCATTATGTCTAAAATATAAATTGTCTATATATGTATCAGTTGTCATTACATCATAAGAGTTTTGTTAATCAAAGTTATCCTTCTCTACAAACATTTATTATTCCTATATCCATCAAGTGGGCCAGTGGTAAGATAATGTTGTGGATGGATCAATGTTCAATCCATAAATCAATTCTATCACAAAGAATAAATTAAACATAAGAAACCATCTGACTTGCGTTAAATTGCATTATTTAAAAATAAGAAATTCTTTGATTTACTTTCACAAATCTTACTAATTAAAACATCATTCATAAAATTAAAATAAAAGGTTAAATTAAGTATGGGTTAAGCCTGTCCGATGCTCTCTAGTGGTACTGTATAGTCTCGTTAGGCACGGGGTTCGAGGTAAAAAAAACTGGTTGCAACTTTGACAAGAACGATGATAGCAAGATAATTCAAGAAACATTTTATAACTTCATATCTTAATTTTCAGTTATATTAGTGAATATAACACTTATTAATTTTTTATTGTATGATACACGTATAAATCGAGATGTGTGGTGTCAAATTTTTTTATGAAGCTTTTTTTTGCCAAACTGTACTGTGCAAAATAAAAATTACACATAAATAATGTTTACACCATTTGAAAGTGTGAATCTTTTTCTTTAAGTTACATGTAAGCAAATTATGTTATGATTTATTTTCACTGACTTATTTGACGTTGAAGCAAAACTGCCGTTTTGCCTTTGACACTCATAACATAAATCAATATACGATGTTCATTAATAAATGAATAGGAAGATTAAAAACTACTTTTAAAAAAATATATATATATATACTTTACTAAATGTATGTGGCCAAGGCTTGTAGAGGAGGCTTTATAATTAATTTACAAAAATTTACTTACAGAAAACGGAAAATTTTAAGAAATAATGGGTCTAATATACTTAGACCCGTTATTCCTATAAATTAGTTCCAAAATTTCCGCTACGAGCCGCCACTTTCTTTAAAAAGAAATTGAGGTGCATCCAAAAGCGCTTCTTATATTCCGGTAGAGAATCTCGATATTCCCTTTCATTTAGCGCATCCTTTCGTAGGACCGCCTACGAAAAATCTGGTTCACAATGCATGGCAAGCATTATCGCGTCCTGTGTGCAGGAGCCATAAGGTCCAAAACTGACCAATCACAGGGTGCTTTCCAGTTGCGTACATTGTGTTACTCAAAACCAGTTTATTGGTTGCATATTATCTTACAAGATATTTTAGATAATATGTGACCAATAAACTAGTTTTGTGTACGTATGTGTCAAGATGTGTTAAGTAATTGGAAAGCACCCATATTGAAGTGAGACAAATATACGTTTTCTCACTCTAACTTATTGCACTAGTTCAGCAGTGCATCTACAAAGAACAGATCTATATATATTACATTTGTGGAAGTTGCCCAATTTGTGGAAGTTGCACCAATCAGAGAAGAGAACACGATCCGCTCTACTCTGTCTAGGGCTGCGTTCAGATTCCTTACCCGGGTGCACTCTAATACAAAAAGTGCTATAGTATATGTGACATATACTATAGTGTTTCTAGTAACAGAGTGCACCTAGGTAGGGAATCTGAACGCACCCTAGAGTGTTTACGATAGTAAACACATGTATTTCAAATACGCGCAATTTTACATGCGTATGTGGCCACGAGCATGTGTGTCGCTAAATTTCATTGCTATGATAGATCTCATAACATATCTTATTCATTTACTTTAACGATTAATATCTCGCTTTGCGTGACAGAGCGACGTTTTTAACTCTTATATTTAGTTTTTACGCGTGAAAATATGAGTTGAGTTTCAGGAAAATCGAAGATAAGGACTCTAAATTATATAATTACCTTCGACTTATATAAATACCGTACTGTAGGAAATTAGAAAATTTTATATTTAATAACAACTAAAGATTAAGAACAAGCTATAAATTGCTCCTGAAACTATCTCATTATCATTTTTGCCGAAGTTACAGTTTGTTGATTTTTGTGTTTTTTAGAGAAAATGTATAGATTAAGAATTTATTTCTCCCGACTCTTTATTTTCTAAAGAAACTATTCAGTGGTTGTACACGTAATAGAAACACTTATAATATTTCTTTAGTGTATTTATTACAATTTCTTTATGTATGATATACAATAGTGTCTCTCTCTCCACAAAAAATTATTTTTATATTGTTAATTATAATCATTTGCATGTCTACTTAAAAAAAAGTTTTATACAATATTTTTATAATCATTGTTATTATAAACTGTTAAAATATATATATATATATATATGTTTGTGTATATCTACATGCATATATATATTCACATATGCATACATATATTCACATATGCATACATATATTCACATATGTATACATATATTCATATATGCATGAATATGTATTTCTTGTACACACATACACACACATATATCTATATGTATAAATTAATATGCGTCCATATATATATCCAACAGTACATAAACTTTTCTAAAAGTAATCTAAAAGACGTCATCTTTTTCTAGATATTTTTTTAGAAATTTGTACTATCTGGGTAATCATATATGCTTATATCTGATGTTAGATATCAATATATGTATAAATATATATATATATATATTTATATATATATAAATATATATATATATATAT